TTGGTTTCGTGGGCGTTTATTGAAAAAACGCCACCACATCAGCGCCGGATAGGCATTGACACTTATTGCATATGAAGCAAAATGAAACAACTGTTTGGTTCCATTGGCATTTATTGAAAAAATGCTGCCACATCAATGCTATATAGGCATTGGTGTTTATTGCATATGAAGCAAAATGAAATAACTGTTTGGATTCACCGTTTATCAAATAAATGGTAGAAAATTGAAATGCTTTGATTTTTGTGCATGGGTCATTTGGGGAAACATTAAGTTCTTGTTTCCTCCAATGCCCCAGCCTTTCTTGAAACCAAATGTTGATATGGCACACTTTAATAGGTATTAATCTGAGATGGAGAATAAAAAACGTTTAAAGTGAAGCCCAATTAAACAACAAAAATAATAAACGTTTACATGGTGTTTGGAAGCATGGGTGCTTTTTGGGACTGATTTTCAAGAAAAAACACCTATGCTTCCAAGACCCATTTTACACAAAAAAAAAAGACTTCTACCACGTGGGCAGTGAGCAATACTATGCTGTTTGGTAAGGTGATTTTTATCACCATTTTTCATGTATGTGCTGACAGGTAAGCAACACATAGGATATACATCAATCAACCATTGGGGGAAACGATTCACCGATGTATGAAACACCAAGGTCCCAATTTTAAAGGCATGTCCAATTTTTTAATAATTGGCTGAACCAAACAATGAGATACATGGGCGTTTGTTGAAATGCCCGTATAGATACGGCGTGGCACCGTTTTTTTTAAATATGGCCACGGTTCCAAACATCCCTTAAAAGTGAAAAAATATAAATAAACATTTAAAGTAAAAAAAAGTACAAATAAGTCATCCATAGAACTAAACACATAGCTAATATCCATCCCCGACCCATCGCCCCATCGGGGCCAGGTGGATGAGGCTGAATAGCCGCCCATCCCTAGGGGAGCTCAATCTCAAATGGCAGGCCTTTCTGACAATAAAGATAAAAAGAAAAGTCAAACTTTGTTGAACACTTTGACAGTTTGACATTGACCTTTATACATCACACCTGCACCACTATATGTATATAGACAAAAGGTGTTGGATTTTAATCTCATAAGAGATTAAATCCAATGGGTTTGATTGGTCAATTACATGAGAAATTGCACCTACACACTTGATTGAAAAAATCAGTTTTTCTCTTACAAAACCCAGTTTTGAACTTGTCCCACATTGGAAAAATATAAGTTTTGTTTTCAGTATTTCAATAGGAGCTGATTTACACTCCTTAGAATTAGTAGAGGAGAGTATGGGGATTCGATACCGCGCAACGTGCGCGCACGCGTGTGTGCGGCGCAATGAGACGCTTTAGAGGCGCACTTTGCTCGCACCCGCGTGGCTCGCGATGGGCGGCTCTAATTTTGGTGCATTGATGACCGTTGATCACCGTTGATGAGATCAACGGTCACAATTCGATCAGGTGTGATCAAGAGGCACAATACTGTTAACTACTTTTTAAATAGTCATAATGTTTGAAGTTGTGATTGTTCAAGGTGCCTTCTCTAAACCAGTACCTACCTTTTCTTCATACCTCTTCACAAATTATTTAAGGAGCATGAATCAGACTCCAAAACACAYAATTTCGAAATTCACTCTCTCTCTCTCTCTCTCTCTCAGTTCGGTCTGCTACAGTCTCATAGAAGGTTTCTTTGGAGACTCTTCAACTTTGCTAGTTGTAGATTCTCGCTCAAGACTTTGTTGTATCCTGGGAACGAATTTGCCTATAATCCAACAGCAAACTCAGTGAAACTGAGTGAGGGCAAATAACGTTCTAAAAATAGTGTCTTCAGACGCGCCTCAGAGATTCTCCTCCAAAGTTACAGTGACCCATCTTCCCCAACAAAAAGTATCGCCTTTGGAAACGAAACTTAGACAACCGCTCCACACCCACACCCCCTTTTTTATCTTCTAACCACTGTTCTTCCTTATCCTCCCTCAAGGAAAGAAAAAGCCACCCTTTTGAGTTGTTTTTCGTGATCCCTTTTATTTCTGAGCATTTTATATGTACTTTATGCTACGCTTAAATTCATGGTCAACTTAGGGGTGGCAAATGGGCAACATCCCTCAACCCAAACCCATAACCCAATTCTCTGCTACAACAAGCACAAATAGAAGACTTTACTAACCAATCATTTGGCACCTTCCACCCATTCCGGTTCATTCTAATTAATTCCACCGACACTTCTTTCAATCATTCAATTGAAACAGATTGTATTTTTTTAATAATTTTTCCTTCACACATCGCCTTAATTAGCATTATTAAGCTAATAATTTGATTGAGCTGTGTTGATTTAGAGAACCTACCAAAATTAAGCTTCACCGAAAAATTGATTTCTCATCTCAACGAAACTGCTTTTCAGCTTTCTTGGGTTTTTATCAGATTACAGCTTCCAGACTTTACATGTGAGCCCTACCTTGCAACCCTAAAAACTGCTGCTGGAAATTCAGTTGTAGTCATCGTGGATTTTAAAGATAGGAAAAAAAAAAGTACCAAGTGGATTGCAGCCCACCTCAAAAATCTAAAATTACAGTGCCTCCTATAGCCCTGTATCCTAACCGTAAATTTAGCATCCATCCCAAAAAACTATAGTCATGTTTGATGGCTTTGACCAACCTATCTCGTGTCAACTAGTGACGTGTCTGTCTTGTGCGGCAACCGTCAAACGTGGAAAGAGTTGTGCAAGGTTGGTAACACTGCTGGATGTACTTTTATTGGGATAAAGCAACACTACACGCGAGGGATTGGCTTCTCTCCCTTTGGCTTTGGGACTGGGGAGTTTCCGTGCTTGAGGATTGATGTGTTGGTTGGACCTGTTTATGGGCTGATTTTCCACTATATCAAGTTCACGTTCATTCAAATTTTGATGATTCTTTGTGTGTGGCTGATTGATTTCCTCCATCAACAACTCACTTGGACAGATAAAATATGAAAAAACTGTCAACTGGCCCATTTGAGAGAGTTGAGATGATTCATTTATATTTGGTTCAGCTGCTTTGAAAGCACTCCTCCTGATGACACTGGCCTCACTACAGTTGATTTATGCTCTCTCTTCAGATCTGCTCCTCATGCCAGCGGCCAACTCACAGGCACATCCTACCATGTATCGGGAATATATTTCATATTTATATATTTTTATTATAAAAAATGTTCTTACTTTCCAACGCACGGTGAGATGTGTTTGTAAAGTCTATATAAAGTGTCCCAATGCACGGAAAGATGTATGTGAGGTCAGTGTAAGGTGCAATGCGCTCAGTGAGCTGCAAATCCTAATTCCCAAAACGACGGGCATCAAATATATTTTCACTGCTAATAGAATCAACGGAGAAGAATGGATATATCCAATGCAGAATTCTGAATTCCAGCCCCCCTTATTATTAGTCCTCTCCCCCCTATAAACCACATCCTGTCTCTAAATTTGACATCAATTCATGGTCAGGATGCATTCTCCCTTATTTATAGGGCTATAAAAATTTTGATCTGGACTGATTGATCATTCTCCCTAGAATCAAAGACATATATAGGGATGCACGGATTGTCATTTGAATTCCATGGATATTTTTTTTTTATAATAAAAGGAAAAATATCTACTAGAACCTCATCACAAAATTCCATGTGCAAGGGGAAAAATTCGATTACGATTTTGCCCAAATTCCAAAAACAGCCATGGACTTCTTCTTATCTGAGTCTGGAGTCTGGACGATGGATTACATTACTAGAGTTTTATCGTGATGCGCAGCCTATTCAGACCGTCCTTTGAATAATAAGAACAAAAGCCTCTTGCTTTGTTTGAATTGACCATTTTGTTTGTTCATTTCTCCCCTTCACATCAGTTCACATCAGCTGTGTATTTCTCCAGTTCCCAGAATCCCAATGATATGAGTTGTTGAAAGCTTTATTTTCTTTAATTTTCATTAGTCTTGTGTCCCTCAAAACTTTTTTTTTTTTTTGTGACTTAGAAAATCTGTGAACCTGAAAAAAAATTGGCCCATGGTTAGTTAGAGGGTAGAGCTGTCCATGACTGCATGTATGCATGTGAGGTTGCAATATAAAAAGAACAGCCCTCAGCCCAGTTTTTGGACAGCCTGAAAGCAAAATGGGTGACAAATGAGAATGGCTGCATTTGTTTTATTGCATTAATAATGTGTCATGAAATATATTTTAATATCGGTGTATATACCTTTGAGAAAGATGGAAGGAGAAGAATCCATATTTGGTGAGCCCATCTACTAAAAAGATGAAAGCTACTTCCACACTGCTTGATCATTAAAGTAAGGAGTGCATTGACAATTTCACCTCTTTTTATATATAATAATTAGGATTACAGGGATCCAAACCAAACTTAAAGCAGTGATTTATGACAAGTGGTGGATAATGTGCAGTGGGTATTCCTCCTGTGGACTTTGGAGTCGGGATTCATGCCTGGAAGTTGGATCATGTGCAGTGGGTATTCCTCCTTATAAATATAAAGAAGAAGAATACATGACTGCAGAATGTGATGGGTCTGGAGAATACCATCTACTATTGATCATCATGATCAAACCCTGGCCATTGATTTCTTTACTTCTCTGGTTTGGACCCCAAATCTTTTGGAGAACTGCAGTTATATAATGATGACAAAATCAATTTTCAAGGGATCCATGCCGCGTGTATGAAAGTTGGCAATGGATAGTCCTTGTTCAATGATCCTATCAGATAAGATGGAAATTAGTCATTTCTAGTCGTTTTGGACAACGGAGATAAAACAGGTCCTTCTGTTTTGATCCAGTTAGGTTAGCCAATGGCATCTGGTAAGGGGAATTACGAAGGGTACGTTTGGCTTGTTAATAAGACACAAAGACAATGTTAAAACGAAAAATAGATCAAATCATTACCTCTTTCTAGAGGTTGGTAAATCCATTGTTGACTATATAGACTTGTATGCAAGTTACAAGATATCTTTACTTGCAGATAAAACAGAATGAAAGATGTCAAAGCTGGAGAACAATTTAGAAAATTTTGGCTGTTTTTCTACAAACCCATATTAAAGGGTCTTGGTAGATATAATATTTGGATGAGATTTCCTTCCTCGTTGGTGGATTGGGAATCTTACCGAACAGTGCTCCTTTGATTCTTTCAACTTTCTTTCTTTTTTGTATGCTGCAAGGTTGATTACCTTTCTGCGTTCTTCAGAGGTTAAGATCTCTCCCCTTTTCTTGTGTTTGAGAAGGTTCTCTTTATTCTTCTCAACCGCACTAAAAATTAAAAAAGGCGCAGGCAGAGTACATTACATAGGATGAGCGACGAGGGATCGTTGTGTCTGTCCTTACTCTTCTGTTATACTACGAAGAGTTCCGGGTTTTTGTCCTGACTGGTGAGAAAGGTAAAGGACCCACATGCAAAATAGCCTCAAAAAAACTAAGAAAAAAACGTCCAAGTTCTCGAATAGATATGATGCTATTTGTTTTGATTTTTTCTGAGGAAGTTTGTGAAGGAAAAAAATAAAAAGCCAGAAGTATTGGGCATTCACGCTTTTGACCTGGTTTTGCGTAGAATTCAAGTATTCTTTCATTTCGTTTTATTGATATTGATTTCTCCTCGAATCTTCCTCTGTATTTATCTGCAAAAAAGAAGGGATTTTGGTTTTCTAGTTTCTTATTTTGTTGGTTCTTTTTTTCCTTTTCTAAACGTTTTTGCCTTGATAGATTCTTCTCTGGATTCAAAGATAATGAATGGTATAACAAAGAATCTCCTTTGTGACTGTAAATGTTCCTGCTGACGACGCTTTCAAGCATATAGGGACCTTTTCTTGATCTGGGTCTCTCCTGGTTCCTCCATCTCTGCAGATTCTCAACCTATTTCAGGTGAGTACGATTGCGTAACTTGAATTTTCTCCTTTTTATTGAGAGATAATTATATTCCGTTCCATTAATTTATCGGAGATGTCGAGCTGGAAGAATATTTCGCTTTTCAGAGGGTTTTTTTCTTGTATCGATACGAGAATGGGATATTTCCTATTGTTTTCGATTGTCCAAGAAATTTTATGACTCTCATTCGGTTGGGATTCAAGGGTGTTTAGAATCATAAGGAATTACATGTCTGGTGGGTACGTTATTTGTTGTTTCTTTTCTTTGTTTTTATTTAATTATTTATGGGGGAATATCTGTTTGGATTGGATTTATACACCTTTTCTGTTTGCAATTGAAGGTCTGCATGTAATAATTTCAAACACTGATTGGTTTAACCATGGACTGATGTTCTGCATAACCTGTGTATAAATGTTACTCATCCACGCTACTTGATTAAACTGAATTCAATCATGCAAGATTTCTTGTTTTCATTGACTTCAGTTTATTGGATGTGTTGAGTCTGAACACCTACCACGTCAGGGTTAAGGCAGATGCTTAATCAAATTGAGCTGCGGCCTCAAAACCCTGCTTGGTTTTTCTTGCTTGTGACAAACTAATTAAATTTCTAGCGGTGTTGGTGATGCATTTCTTAGCTAACTTAATTGTTATGTTTGTGGTTCCCAATTTAGCATGGATATTACTGGTAACTTTCCCTTTTCACTTTAATTGAGGTATGTCAAAAAGTGTTTAACCATGAACCTTTTGTAAGTGAAGAATTTTGTACAAGGAACATATATACTATTATGGTCATATTCTGGTGCTGCAAGAATTTGAATCAATAATTAGTGGCATATTTGTGCAGTAGTAATTCTTATGCTTCATGTTCCATTTTCTGTTTTTGAACTTTGACAATTCTGAGGACTTTCATGTTCCATACTTGCAAAGGTTGAGGGCGTTGTGATACTTGTGTCATGTAATATTGATTTTGATGTTTTTCTTGATTTACTGACTCCCTGTGCAGGCAGAATATTTCTGGAACATGTGCCAGTAACATCTCACATTATGGGTTGGTTAAGCAAAATTTTCAAAGGTTCCAGCCAAAAAATCTCACAAGGGCAGTACCATGGAAAATACGAAGACGACAGGGTTTGGAATGAACCTTCTAATTTGGTAATTACTGTTGCTGCTGCTTATTGAGATCCTCTATTTTTCTTGTTGACCATGCCTCCTCTTATCAAGTGGTGCTACAAAGTTGGAAATTTTTAACATTATTTAAGATAGGTAATGAAGGAAAGGATAAATAGATTTCTTCTCAGGCTTATATTGTTGGTGCTTATTTTCTCATTATTTCATTTGGCGTCGATGAGATGTCAATTACGTTAGCTAATACTCTTTAGCTTTTGTTTCTTTCTTTTTTTTTTCAACTTTTATTTTTTCCTCTGCTTACTGTCTTGGGGATCTTTAATGTAGGATGCATGGTCAGATTATGAGAATGAAGATATAGATCGTGCTATTGCACTTTCCCTTTCAGAAGAAGATCAAAAAGGGAAAAATGTGATTGGTGAGTAATGTTGTTGTTAGTTGGGATTGTGAATGCTCGTGGCACTTGGGATTGTATGGTCTGCAAATCTCCTAAATTTCTTGTCATTTTAAGTATCAAAAAGTGATGCAACATGAAGCTGAATGAATGCCTTTACTATTAGTATACAATTACGAGTTTATGACTTCTCTCTCTCTCTCTGTCAAAAAAAAAAAAACTTCTGCTCTCAGTAAAACCTCGGTTGATAGTATGGATTTATGTTAATAATCACAGGTTAGTTTTTGGTTTTTTAGTATGGGGAACTACCCACTAAAAATGATTTCCGATGCAACAAAAGAATGCAAGTAGTCATTTAGTCATGTTGATATTTTCATGGAAATTAAATTGATTGTAGAGGTAATACAAATTAAATGCACCATTAACCTGTGCATACTGTATTTAACTGTTGATTGGTTTCATATAGATGTTTGACTTGGTGGTATTCCTTATCCTCCTTGGTTCACTGAAAGGGTGCAGAAATACTAGTTATCAATTAATCATGCTGATACCATATAAAAACTGATTAGTCAAGTGGTATCATAACCTAAAGTTCAATAATCTACCATTCTACATTGTAATGCACTAAACCATCCTTTTCATTTTTTCCTTTGGCATGTGGGTGGAATGGGGGATCTGCTTCATTTAGAGCAGGTTCTAGTGGAGATTGCCTGAAAACTGGTGTTCCCTTCTCTCCCACACTCATCTTCCCCCAATTCTCTCTCTCTCCAACTGATATTTGATGATAAAGAATGCTTCTTCTTTTACATTTGTTGAGTGGGAGCAGGAAAAAAAACTATTGACTTGGTCAATGAAGTGGTTGAGTGTTTTTTTGGCATTTTTTATAGTTATTGATGCATTCATGGATTGTTATGATCTACTTTACAATGGTTTTAGTTTAATAAATTTTTATTGCTTTGTGGGAACTAAAATATATGCTACGGAATTTTATTTTATTGTGTTTCTTTTCTTAGATAATGAATCTCATTTGGAGGAAGATGAACAACTTGCTAGAGCTCTACAAGAAAGTTTGAATGTTGAGTCTCCTCGTTATGATAATGGAAATACGTATCCACCCATACCATTCCCTTTTGTGACAGGGTTCAGGTATTGTGTTTGTTTTGTTAAATTTTGCTCCACTGTGCCCTTTTGTTTATTAAGAGTATTTACTACTTATAATACATTTTGAATAGTGTGATATTATCCTATCTTTTGTAGTTATTTGGTGAAATTATGTGTGATACACAGGTGTTACTGAGTTGAGTGCTTGGTTTGTAACTAGCCTGCCTACCCACAGCACTAGCTAATCCTTTCATCTCCTAAACCTCTTCTTGGCTCTCATTTATTTTGGCATCTCTGTCTTTTGCTTTTCTGGAAAAAGAAGCCAAAAAGTTATCTTTCAATGACCTATGAATATGGTGCTCCACCTAGTATTTGATATGCTGTCTGATTCATTTGGAATGTTAATATTCTTATTTTGTATCAACTGTGAAATGTATTCTAAAGATGTTAGTTTGGAATTAACTCTTGAATTGGTAATGTGACATTAATACATTTAGTGCTAGTTAAAGTACAATAAGTGCTCCATTTGCGGGTTGTCTCATAGATGGAGACACAAAAGATCTGTAGCAAGTCTCTGAAGCACAAACCTTCATCTAAGTTTCCAATTACTAAAGTTCAGACTAATTCACAGGTGCCTTTTTATCATTTTGCTCTCATGGACCATTTATAGCTGGGTCCTTGCACAAAGCTATTTGTATAGACCATTTATAAACTGCACAAATAACATGATTGAAGCTTGGGATGACTCTAAGATATCCAAAGTTCCAAACACCTGCTGGAATTCACCAACATAAAAATCAATAAGCATTAGATATTTCCTACATGCAGATACGAATGTAGAAATTGCTGCAAGAGATGGAGATATGCTTGCAACAAACAAAGATGTGGATATGCATGGTCAATGCAATATCTTAGTACCATATTCTGATATTGTTTTCTTTTTCAAATTTTTAATGCCAACTATAAATTTAGTACGGAGACATTTGTTACAACTGGTGTTCTAAAAGCAAGAAGCACTACTAAGGCACAATAGCTCAATTAGTTCAAGCATCATGATAGATAGAAAAGTAGAAAATACAAAATGATAAATTTGCACTGGTTAAAGTTACATGGTTAGCAAAAGCAAGAAAAAAGAAAAACTTCAAGCTAAATATTACAAACTCCACAAATGTCAGTAAATTAATAATTTGAAGATGTTCTGCATGTACATCAGTGTTAGTATCAAAAAAGAACGCTCTTTTCCTGTCCCCAGTGCACCAAGCCCACACATCAAAGGCTTAGGCCTGCCTATTAATATTACACAAAGTGAGTTTTCTCTCGAGCAGTAGGAACAATCAGATAAGTGAAGCGTCATATAGTGCATCCACAACCTAATGAAAAATTGTTGAAATCCTTTTAAGAGTTTCCATTTTCTTCTAAGTTTTATTACATTGGATGTTTCATTTGTTCCCCCTTGATGGACTTTATTTGTGCCTCCTGAAACTTGACCTTGGTTGAACTCTCTGTGTAGGATTTGTGCTGGTTGCAATACTGAGATTGGTCATGGACGATTTTTGAGTTGCATGGGTGCAGTTTGGCACCCAGAATGTTTCCGTTGCCATGCTTGTAATCTTCCAATTTCTGATTATGAGGTGGGAAGACCCATTCTGTTCGTAGAGCCATCTTAAAATCATAATTGACTAAGGCCATTCCAATTATTATTAATTGACACTTTTTGGTTAATCTGTTTCCCCTTAATACAATGAAAATGTCATGGGATTTTCATAACGTTGACTAATTTCGCATTAATATTCTTCTGTAGTTTTCCATGTCTGGGAATTACCCTTATCATAAATCTTGCTACAAGGAGCACTATCACCCAAAATGTGACGTGTGCAATAACTTTGTAAGTATTTGAAATATGACTGATTGATGAATTACTCTTCTTGAGTTTCCATATATATTGATGAGTATTTCTTTTTCATATTGCCAAAAATGTATAAAGGCTGCATTTGTTTCCATATGAAGAGATGAAAGATTAATGGAAATATCTCAGATTAGAAATATATTATACAGTTACTGTTATTTGCCGTGTAGCTTCTTCAGCATAAAGAAAATTTCTTGGGAAAGGGAAAAATACCATGATGTATATTCCTGATAGTTAAGTCCTGGGATGCTATATAAAAAAAGGACCATTACCTAATGTTGGTCCTGGCTACCCAGGACCGTGGGAGTAGACTGGATGGACCTAACCTTTGGCATTTTCTTACATGAAGTGGCTGCTCTGAGATTCAAATCTGCATTCTTGTGCTTGTCAGATTATCTGATGCTAAATGAATTTCTTATAAACTTAGGTAGAACTTGGATACAATGATATCCTAATTATGCAAATTAGTGGGAGAACTATTGTGCCAAAGCTGGAGCTCTGAGAACAATTTGTTTTGAAGCAATAGTCAATTGTAGTATGGAGTTCTTTACTCCTGTATCTAGTTTTTTCTTCTGTTTCTAATGTGTCCCAATTTTTTGCTGGTATGTTTTGGTTGGAGTTTATCATGAATGTCTGAATTCATAACAAGTGAACATTCAATGACTTGTAACCTGGTTACCACTAGATAAATGAATGTGAGGTACAAGAATTCCTGGTTTTCCAATTCATGCATATTCTATGATGTTGGTAATGATCAGAAGTTACATTAAGGACCTATTTAGTCATATAATGGTTTACAATGCATATTATAAGCAGGTAGTAGGTTTAACATTTTATTTATATCAATAGGGAATCGGTACATTTGTGATCCCTTAGGAAGATAATCCAGTATTGCTATCATTCTCTTGCAACATCATTTACTTTCCTACCTTTCTATTTCACAACTTAATCAATCTTAGGAATACAAAATAATTGAAAATCCGTATGTTCTATCTGTTGTTTGAAATTTTGAATATAAAAGGACCTCAAAGGGTAACCTTATTTCTGCTAACCAATGAGATAGCCTGCATCCTTTGTCATGGCAAAGTGGCAGATGTTCCTTGATCATATAATTATGAATTTTGTATATAAAGTCAAGGTGTAACAAATGGGTGTAACTCATTCTTCAGTAGCAACATGGTCTTCAAAACAACCATTAGCTGGTTCTTGGTATAGTAGCAGGTGGGTGGCATCATCATAGGATAAACTAGTTTTATATGGCTAGATCTTCATTTTTTATGAATCAGATATCATGAGAAGGTCATGTGCATCCTACTATGAAACAGCTTGCCTTAAAACATGGCATCTCTCTCCCCATTAAAGATAGTTGAACTGTTGGAGAATGCCAATTGAGTTTCTACTTCTAGCAATGCAGGTGCTCCCAGAACAATGAGTTTGTTGCATTGTAATCTCTGGAGTCTAGGTCCTCTAGATCATTGACCACAGTAAGTATTCTTCTCTATTATAGAACAATTCATTCCCAGAGGTGTTAAAGTCTCTATTTACTTCAATAGCCTCCTTTTTTTAGGACCTAAACAGGCCTTGTTTCTTCTTTCTTGAAATCAAAAGGCAAGAATACATTTGCTTTAACTAATTCAAGTTGAGGGTGGGCCTTGGCATGACACTTGGGTTGCTCCATTGCAAGTTGCAACCTGGGTGACCAGGGTTCAAATCTTGGAAACAGCCTCTCTGTATGTGCAGGGGTAAGGTTGTGTACATCTGTCCCTCCCCAAAACCCGCATTGGCAGGAGCCTCAACCCTCATGCACTGGGCTGATTCAAGTTGAGTCCATGACTATAATGGTATAACCAAAGCCATTCCAACCAGATCCAAGTTGGGTCCGTAAAAGGTAAGTTGAAGCCATTGACCAGAGGATCTGAATCCTACTCTTAGGAGAGAAATATGAACTTTATACCTTCATTTTTCACCTCCAAGATATTAGAAAGATACAGTAACCAGAAGGAATAGAAGGGGATACTCTTCCAAGGTGGGTGATCCTCAAGATTAGAGCTTGTAGATAACATGGATTGTAGACCTTCCTGTTTCAGCTTCTTTGGCTTGTTGGATGGATTTGATGTTTCTTCTTTTCTGATTGTTACACTCTTTAACTGGCAATGCCTTTTTAGGAATAGCAATTTTTCAGCTACTTTGTTTGAAATTTATTGACTTACAGCTATGGAAGCCACGAGTGTTCCTTGGAAACCACATATCAAAAAAGGAAAAGAAAATGATGTAGTATTGAGTTTATCCCTTCTGATATTTTGTACTTAGCCATGTGGTTGGATCTTTCTTACAGATTCCAACAAATGATGTTGGTCTGATTGAATATAGGGCACATCCTTTCTGGATGCAAAAGTATTGCCCCTCACATGAGTTTGATGGAACACCTCGCTGTTGTAGCTGTGAACGGATGGAGGTTAGACTTTCTTTATCTTTGAAAGGAAGCATTCTTCAACCTGCCAATAAACAAATTTGATGACCGTTCCTATCTAACACAAAATCTTCATCATTATCTACAGCCAAGGGACACAAGATATGTATCCCTTGATGATGGTCGAAAGCTCTGTCTGGAGTGTCTTGACTCAGCAATCATGGACACTAGTGAATGCCAACCCCTTTACCTTGACATACAAGAATTTTATGAGGGTTTAAATATGCAAGTGAAGCAGCAAATTCCGTTACTCCTTGTCGAGAGGCAAGCACTTAATGAGGCTATGGAGGGAGAAAAGAACGTAAGCAGGGATTTATTTCAGCCATCAAGTGTATTTAATAAAGAATTTCATTCCATTATTTTGTTGATAATTTATTTTTGCTTTCTTTGATCTCTCTCTGTTATGAACAGGGCCATCATCATATGCCTGAGACGAGAGGACTTTGCTTGTCAGAAGAACAGACCGTCAGCACTGTAAGGACTTGCCATATAGTTGTTACTTGTTAACATCAGAAGGATTTTCTGTTTCAAAACATGTTTAATGGTGCACTGATTATACTAGTTTTCCTGAATATACTAGATCTTGAGGAGGCCAAGAATCGGGGCAGGAAACCGAATCATTGAAATGATTACAGAGCCATATAGGTTAACCCGTCGATGTGAAGTAACAGCCATTCTTGTTTTGTATGGCCTTCCTAGGTATTGTTCCTCTTTCTTTTCCAAGTTTTACTTTGGTGTAGAATCAGTTCTTACAGAAGTTGTACTTTGGTAAAGATGCTTTTTTGTTTGAGCAAGAATATATTTGCATGCAGATTGCTGACTGGGTCAATCCTGGCACATGAGATGATGCATGCATGGCTGCGGCTAAATGGTGCTCCCCGCCCTCAAATGCCAAGACCGTCTGAGTATTTGAATTTGGTTCTTGATTAGGTAATACTTAAATACTTGAGATGCTAAAATTGGGTTGTATTTGTCAGGCTACCGCACACTTAGTCAAGATGTGGAAGAAGGTATTTGCCAGGTGCTGGCACATATGTGGCTGGATTCAGAGATCATGTCAGGTATTGGTAGTAACGTTGCTTCAACTTCATCTTCATCAGCGTCATCTTCTTCCACATCATCAAAGAAGGGTACACGCTCTCAATTTGAGAGGAAGCTTGGAGAGTATTTTAAGCACCAGATTGAATCAGATACTTCACCAGCATATGGAGATGGTTTCAGAGCTGGTAACGAGGCAGTGCTCAAGTATGGCCTCCGGAGGACACTTGATCATATTCGGATGACAGGGAGCTTTCCCTACTGAAACTTAGAGCCCTGATTCCACTATTGTTTTCTAATCAATTTGCAAGGCAAAACTTGGCCCTATCATATTAGAGTCTAGGGCCAAGAATCAATTTTCATGAGAAAAGTGATCAACAAAATTCTGTCTTCTACATCCTTTTCCCATTATTCTCTCTTGGTCTCTCCTATTTGTGGCACCATTAACTCGTCATTGGCATACCACTTTGTCTACCAAAGAAAGAAAATGTAACACACTTTATTTTTTAATAAATTAGATTATCTACCTCGTGTCTTGTCCCTTTAGTTTGTTATAAACTTAAAACAGTAGTTTAAGAATCTAAAGTTTTACTCGGTCTCAGGTTAAGGTAGATAAGTCCTATTTCCAACTCTTTCCTCACTCATAAAAGGGGTGGTTAAATCCAACTGCTACAGCCATGCATCAGAAATTTTATTAGACCACCATCGAGTGCACTGTGTTACGCCTTTTGGGAATTCCTCGACGGTCCAATAAGTAGAATCAAGATGACTTTCTCTCAACTCTCAAGCCATAAAAAATGCAACCAACTAATCAAGATGACGGTCCAATAAGTAGAGCTCACTCTTGCTCTCTTGGCCTGCTCAAGAGCGACATCGGTTGCCGTTTGGCATTGTTGCCATTTTCTGGAGCAATGGCACCACATCAGCGTTACATCGGAAAAAATGGTGCTCCAGGAAATGAGTATTTGTTTGAAACCGTTTTTTTATAAAAAACAGTGCTCCAAGCCACGTCTCGAAAATCAGGAAGCCATGGCTTGGAGCAACGTCAAACTTGGCATTTCTTGGAGCCACAGCTCGTTGCTGTCAACAGGACAGTGATGTAACACTGAATAATGGGTACCAGTGCTGAAAACGTTTCCTGAGCAATGGTACCAAATAGAAAAAGTTGTTGCTCCAGGAAACATCCTACCTGGCAGCAAGATTCCAAACAAAAATAAAGGCAAAATCAGTGCTCCAAGCCACAAATCAGCAGCTGTAGCCTGGTAGGTTGTAGTTTTATGGTGGGGCTCAGTCTTGTGGTAAGATGTGTGGTGGCAGATCAGGATATTGGATGATGTTTTGTTGGCAGGAGATCCCATCTACTACCAACTAAAAATGTCCCAACACCCTTCTAACATCATCTGCCACTGCACAGTAGAGGTGTTAATGGACCGGTTCTCGATTGGACCCCGTTCAAACCAAACCAAAATCAAATTGGACGGACCAACAAGACATTGAATTGGACCAATCCGGACTTAATCAATATCTGGTCCATTGATAGAAAATAAGAATATAGGTATCAATGGACCAGGTTTAGATTAGAACTAATCTAAATTAAAACAAATTTGAATAGATTGGACATTCGAAACATTGAATTAGACCGGTCCAAAATGGTCCAAAATATTTATTGGATTGGATTGGACTTCGTCCATTTGTAATGGACTCACATTGGACTGGGTCGGATTGGACCAAATCCAATCCAACTGACACCCTTACTGTACATCTCATATATGGTAGGTTGCAGCTTATGATGGGTCCCAGTCTCATGATAAGATGTACGATGTAAGATCATGTTGGTAGGGTATTGGAAAATGTTTTATTGGCAGGAGATCCTAGTTTCCTTCTAAACGCCTCAATATCTCCCCAGTGAGGCAATAGCCCTGGACTAGATACCCTTGCCATCAATATCCCCAATCCCCGCTATGGCTCCTAACAGCACTTGTCAGTTTGCATTTTTTGGATGTGAATTCAAAATTGGCATCACAATTCATTTCAATCCAGCCTTTTTGGAGGAGTTGTCTATTAATCAGTTCTGCTTGTAGTCATCGAACTTGGCAATTGGAGTGACTTGTGATGACGATCAAAGTCTCCCAAGACTCGGACTGGAGCTCGGCGCAGGAAGGGGGGGGGGGGGGGCAATCACTAAAGGGCCGAGCTTAGGGTTTTAAAGGTCGGTTTGAGGCCAATCCTAAGTTTTAAACCCCCAATCCTAACCCTAACACTAATCCAACCCGACCTTCAACCTGATCTACCCAATTCTAACCCTAATTAAATTCATTCAACCCTAACCCAATCCAATCCAAAGTCAATTTCGAGTTGGGCTGTCTCGGGTTGGGCCCAACCCAACCTTCTTTCCATGCCTTAAAATCTCATAAAACTATTTAATCTCAAATCTTAACTCAATTTTCACTATATATATTAATCCTATGTTTTATTAGTTTTTGTTTGTTGATGCTTTTATTGGTTCTTTTAATACAAAATTCAGAAAAATAAGTGTTTGAAATGACTATAATTTATCATGAGTTACAAACATTAGAGATGAGGTAAAGAATAAAATATTCAAAAAAGATAAAATATGTTATTATTTATTAAGGTTTTAATATTTTCATTTGGGATAAGTGAAATGATTATCTTAAAAGAAAGACAATAATATGTAATGAGGGCTATACAACTATCATACATCTAAATAAATCAATGTATGATGTGTGTGCATATATATATATATATATATATGACATATACTATAGAATCGAGTTCAAGTTGAAACGGGTTGTCCAAGGGGCCAACCCTAATCCAACCTAAAATGAAGTTGGATTCATGAATTTCAATCCTAATCCTAACCCGAATATCAACCTGACCTGATCTGACCCAACCTTTTTGGGTTAGGTTCGGGCCAACCTGGCCCAAGTTGAAGCCTTAGCCGAGCTATTTGATGTGAAATAAAAGGCAGTAAATGCTGCTTAACCACTAAGTTTTAGAATTTACCTTTATATAGATTGGAGATACTCATGCTAGCTAACATGTGGTGGTGATACACCTAATGATTTGTGGAAGACATTTTTGTGACTTGCATGCCATGTCCAGGTGTGTGTAGAGGAAGCCCAGAGCCCACCAACTAACAGAGTGGGCAAATGGGATGCTTGCTCCGCCAGGTGGGTTGTCTTCATGCACACGTGTTTCAGCTTGGGTGTATTTCTTCTAATGCTAACTCAGCTCGACAAGATGTGTTTCTCTACTTAGCTTAGCTCATGTGTTTACTAATTTGCTGAGGTCGCCACGCGTACGATCTTACTGGAGGTCAATTCTATCCTCATCAACTTGTAGGGGGACTATCTCATGGAATAGCCACAAGGCCAACCACACCACCTCGATTGGTTATCGGTTAATCTCATTAAAGGTCAGATGACTCAGATCATAGTCGTATGCCTTCCAAATTTTACAGCAAACGAGTGTCCGGAGGATTATTAGCCACAGTTGCTACTCGACCTGGGCCAACACTCTACAAACTGTGAGCTGATCCAGCTGCCCCCATCATTCACTTGTGTGTAAGGGTGTCAACGGACAGGCTTTGATCGGATTGTAATAAGACATATTGAATTGGATCAATTTAGCTTAATCGTTCAAAGTATTTATTGGATTGGATTGGAAATAATGAGTTTATATTGGGGTTGGAAACAATCTAAATTAAAATTAATTTGAATAAATTGGATGGTCCAGACATTAAATTGGACCAATCTAAAATGGTTTAAAATATTCATTGGATTGAATTAAACCTGGTACATTTGTAATGGATTCACATTTGACTGAATCGGATTGGACCAAAATCCAGTCCAATTGACACTTCTACTTGCATCTTCCCTGTAATGCCCAACCATACTCTACCAACATAGTGACATCCCAGACTGCGTCCGAATTGCTAGTTGGATTTTCACCATCTGTTGTTTGCATATGAATTGTTAAATTTATAATAACACTTATTTGTGTATGAAGTACCAAATAGGATTATAAATTTGTAATAGAATGTTTTTTTAGGGTAAATTTCTGAAACCTCTCCTAAAGTTTTTGCCTATTGTTGAAGCCTTCCTTGAAGTTTGATAATTGTAATCATCTCTCCTAAACTTTTTTGATACAATTGAACATAGACCCCCTCTATTAGAATCTTCTAAAAGAGGCACAAAATGTCTAAAGACCCATGTAATTACTATTGAGGCTGGTTTCTACATGAAAAACAATACAAATTTTATAAACAACAAAAAATAGAACATTTAAAGTTGCAGCTTTACCTTTGATAATTGATATGAAGGAAAAATTTGGAAAATAAATCAATTTTAATGTGATCGGTTCCGGTCACGTATCATTTTTTCGTGATGTGTCAATTTTTTGGCTAAGTACCTCGTCATCTCGTCTGCTCCCAAGTGGCCTGTGACTTAGAGGCTGAAGTGGAGCTCCCTGGCGATGAATTGCCTGGTGGTGAGCTACCTTGATGAGCTGCTTGGAGGTGAACTACCTTGATGAGCTACCTAAAGGTGAGCTACCTTGATGAGCTACCTAAAGGTGAGCTACCTTGATGAGCTGCCTGGAGGTGAACTACCTTGATGACGAGCTGCCTAGTGTAGTGCAACCCGATTGCTACCGGCAGGAGGTGACCTGACTACCAGTAACGACGGGAACTGAACTGGATACTCCCTACTGGCGATGATCTGCTCATCTTTGTAAGCGGCAGAAGCTGAGGGACCTACGAGAACTAAATCAAAGAACTCGGGGGTGTTTACCCGATGAGGTCACTCCGATGGCTAAGTTAGCGCAGTATAGTAGTAGAGAGCTTGAAGATGATAAGAGAATGAGAGAGGTAGAGAGCAGAGGTTACCCATCCCTTTTCGCATCATCCCTTCGCCCCTTGGGGGTGAGGTCTTTATATACTAGAGTCCTCATGGGTTAGGTGGAGTAGTTCCTGGATCCTAGCTGTGATGGGACGGGCTTGCGTGTTATGTGGGTGAAATGCCATCAAATGGTAAAACTATCCCTTTTCGTCAGAACCGGGGAGTTGGTGAACTAATATAGTCGTTACAAGTCACAATCCCGTAAAATGCGGGGTACGGAGGTGTGTTCTTCAAATTTGTCAGGTTGGCGCTTGTGTCAAGCCGCCAGGTCGGTGCCTGGGCTAGGCCGCCAGCTCGTGCCAGGGCCAGGTCGCGCCAGGGCCAAGCTGCCAGCTCGTGCCAGGGCCAGGCCGCCAGCTCGTGCTAGGGCCAGGCTGCCAACTCGTGCCAGGCCGCGCCAGTGCCAGGCCGTGCCTGGAGGGACACCATCAACTTAGCAAAGGCCAGTTGTTGTCAAAGTGGTCCCGGGTGTCGCCTAGTTGTTCTGAGGTGCCATGCTAGATGATGGCGAGCTGCCTATGTGTTGCAATGATGGCGAGCTGCCTGTGAGTGCTGCATGATGGCGAGCTGCCTAGTGGTGAACTCGAGCTGTCTATCTGTCAAGGGGCTGCACTTATTCGACATGAGGTGCCAGGTGTCACAATTTCACTGGAGGGCCAAATTCGTTCTCATCAAATTTCATAAAAGAGATTAGAAGGGTTTGGGCTAGCGAATCATGAGGAGTAAATTTGGAATTAAACATTTTTTCACAAAAGTAACTGCATTGATATTTTGGACATTTTTATCCTTCTTTTTAGAAGATTTTACCAAAAGGAATCTATATGCAACTATATCAAAAAAGGGGAGGTGATTATAATTACCAAACTTGAAATGAGGTTTTAGTAACAACCAAAGCTTCAGAGGAGGTTTTAGTAATTTACCCTTTTTTATGACAAACTGCAATTGCAAAATGAATTCATTCCAGTTTAGTTTTTCATAGCATTTGAACATTTTAAGACAGTTTCATTCAACTTTGGTTGTATCTATTAAATTAAAAGTGATGGCCTGATGGGAAACAAAGTTATCGCCATAAACAGAGATGAGAAAAAATCTGTCCCATTTTATGGCGAAACCGATGCAAATTAGGGCTGTCAAATGTCAATGAGTGAGATCTGAGACAGGTCAGGCTCCAATATTTAAAGAACAGTGGAATTAAATCCCTCTGTATTTCAGAGTATTAATCAAACGGTTTGAAATGGATTTGATTCTATTCTATTGTTAATAGAAAGAGTGGAGTGAGATTGAGATCATTTTATAATATAATAAAGGTGCCCTCATCATAAGAACTATGAGATTGAGATGGCCCCCGTTTAACATTAATTGTCAATCGATGAAAATTTAGGGAGAAGTACACTGCAGAGCTCTGAAATCACAGATTTGGATTACAGTGGGGTTAAAAAATTTTGAGCCGGGTTGATCCATTCACCCAATTTTGAATGGACCATTTGAATTTTTTATATGATAACTAAAAAACGGATTGGATGTAGAATTTTACACCAGTCCAAATTTACATTGAGAAAAAATGCATGCAAATGCAAACCGATAATAGAATTTTACGTACAAACGCAGCAATTATAAATAATAGGGTTTGGTAACTTGGGTCAGTTAAAATGTCAGATTTGGATTATAGTTGATAAGGGCATTTTTTGGGCTCTAATATTAATAAAAATAATTCTTTTAATATAATTTTTAAAATAGGTTAGTTTTTTTGAAAATATATAAAATAAGGGTAAAAATACTGTTCATCTTCTTCCTCTGGCTCTTTCCCATCTTGCCATGGGGCCAATTGCCCCTCGACTCCTCTCCAAATCCAGTGCTCCTCGCCCAGCTCCTCCGCCAAGCCTTCCCACTTTTCACTTCCCTCACCCTCTATGCACGTACGCCTTCCACTCTCCTCCTCCTTGCCCTTCAGTGGCCCTCGCTCCGTCACATCAAGCTCGTTCACTGGCATCAGCGCTCTAGTATCATCCCTCCCAGATCCGATTTCCTTCCTCTGCTAGAGCACTGTGCTACCCTCACCTCTCTCAATCTCTCCCACTTCTACTGCTAGACCAGAGACCTCTCCCCCGCCCTCCATGTTCATCCTTCCATCACCACTTCCTTCTCCCGCTTCAATCTTCTCACCCTCTCCTCCGAGGGGTTCAATTTGCAAGAACTTCTTGCCATCACCCGCGCCGTCACCCTCAATGACCACCATCCACCAGTGCCGCCGCCGCCACTCTGCCCACCTCCAACAACGCCAATCTGATGAAGAAGAAGGTTGAAATGATGAAATCTACTAGGATCTCACCATAGCCAGGTTCATTGCCTCCAGCCCTGAACCCCAATCTGGGTTCTGCGTCGCCATCATCGTTGACGGTGTGATGACCCTTCTTGTCAACGATTCTTAGAAGGAATCATACAACAAAACCAAAATAAGGAAGCCCAACCAGGTGTTGTTGGCGATTGTAGTGTGAGTGGTAACGAACCCAAGCTTTGTTTTAGTGTCGGTTGGAAAAGGGTATTATAGATTAAGTGATTGAAGTGGAAGTTCAGGGGAAATGAGAGGATTGAAGTGGACGGAATCCTGATTTAGGTGTCTTGGAACGTGTATATTGGTTGAGAGAAATTTATTCAGTGGTTTGGAGAGGAAGATGATGAACTGTATTTTTACCTTTATTTGATATATTTTAAAAAAAGTAATTTATTTTAAAAAATATATTAAAATTATTATTTTTTATTGATATTAGGGCCCAAAAGTTGCCCTTATCGGCTATAACATGATACATGGATTTCTATCTATAATTCCGTATACTTCAGATGTCAACCGCTTCATGCTTTAATGAAATCTTTGCTCGCTATTTGAGAACCATAAGTGGTTAAAAGTTTAAACGGATTAGAGAATTGAACCTGGATCAATCTTTGATCCGATTGGTAGGCGGTACATTAAGCCCATTAATGTTTAGATAGAGTTCAAATCACCTACCAACAAAATAGATTCTAACCCTCTACCAACATGATCTTACACTGTATATCTCATATATGACGCCAATTTCATAGTGAGATGTACTGTGTTAGGTGGGTTTCAGTTCCGTAGTGAGATGTATAGTGTTAGATAAAAGGGTTTCTAGCACACAAGGGCAACTTTTTGTCCTGAATATCAATAAAAAGTAATATTTTTATAAAATAACTAAAATAGGATAACTTTTTTTGGAAAAAATATCAAAAAAGGGTAGTGGTTTTGTGTTCATTATCTTCCTTCTCTTTTTTCACCCAGGAAAATATTTTACAACAACAGACAATCAAAATACCTTTTTACAATGTAAAGCAGTAAAAGAACTACAAAATACTTCCAAGATGGAAGTGCTTTCCCAAAACTTGTTTACATACATTAGACCACAAAACCTCACTCATCACCTATGGCTTTGTTGCTTACTCAAAGCAGCGCTGGTCACAATCTTAATACGCCTAACCCACAACCCACCTTCACACACAAAATGCACTTCCTTGTTGTCGCCACCCTGAAAATACCTGGCTCATCAACATCCCCTTTCCATTTGTGATTCTTATAGAACGTCGAGCTTGGCCCCAACTTGACTTCCTAACAGACTACATTCCTCCTACTTAACTTGACTTTCCCCACCTAAGTATTCCTGTGGCTTCCACCGTCTTCAAAAATTTCCCATGAGGAGCCCCCTTCCCTCCCTTCGTGTGTTTTTGCACATGCGCCCCACTTAGCACGAGCTTCCGAGCAAGCTCATCTAACATCACACACTCATCATCGTATCCACCGTTCCTACTTGCAAGGGAGAGAGCAGTCCCCTCTCGCAGTCTTGATATCACAACGGGGCTCCACATGTGATCAATAATTGACATATGCATCCATGGCAGTCTTGATATCACAACGAGTCCCCTCATGCATTCTTGAGAGAGCAACCATCTAGGCTTCGCCCTTTCTTGATATTTTTTTAAAAAAAGTTATCTTATTTTAATTATTTTATAAAAATATTACTTTTTATTGATATTCAAGACAAAAAGTTGTCCTTATCTGCTAGAAACCCCAGATAAAATTAGTAGAGGGTTAGAACGTGTTTTGTAGTAGTGAGCCTAGTAGTCATTCGGTCCCTCTCTCGGGTCGGGTCGGGTAAAAATTTATCCAATCCAAATGCAACCAACTTCCCTACCCTTTTTATAACCGTTTTAAACAGCAGAGTAAATTGCAGGAAATCAATCGCCGATGCATCCGAGGCACTTCTTCTACCCTACTACTTCCTCAACCTTCGCCAATCTCATACGTAATCAAACTCGTGTGTTCACCTCTGACGCGCCATGCAACCGAGTCTCTCTCTACCTCCAGCGCTCTAGACTCATCGATTCATTTCGACTCGGCCTTCGATCTAAATCGCCTGCCGCGCTTCTCACTCTTTTGAAAAATCCCTCTCTCGACTCCTTCGTCGTCACTCACGCCCTCCGTTCCGCTCCCTCACCGGACTTGGCCCTCTCTCTTGTCGAAACTTTAAACTCTCTCCCGAATTTCACACACACCCAAACTACCCTTCACGCAATTGCCAAAATCCTCGCCAAGTCCGGCCGAAGTGTAGAGCTCCAGAGCCTAATCGACGATATTAATGCTGGCAAATTCACGAATGTTGCCCGAATCAGTTACATGGACCGTCTGCGGTGGCATGCCGCCGCCGCCGACCTGGACTCAGCGGTTCGAGTCTGGAACGAGTTCAAGCTCGCCCTTCCCGGGGGCAAGAAGCATCCCTGTACCGAGTCTTATAATCTTCTCATGAGTCTTTACGCACAGAAAGGTAAGCACTTGGAGGCCGTACAAATGTTCTCTCGGATGATTAGTGAAGGGGCAAACCCTAATTCGAGGACTTACACGGTTATGATCGAGCATCTTGCTAATTCCGGTAAATTGGACTCGGCGGAGGAAGTTTTCAAGAGATTGCCGTCAATGAGGGTTAAACGCACGTCGAGGCAATATTCTGTTTTGGCGCAAAGCTTCATCCTTGTCAAGCGGTTCGACGAAGTTAAGGAGTTGCTCAAGGAAATGCGTATGGATGGAATTTTGCCTGGTCGAACTATGCAATTGTCGTTGAAATGTATGCAGGACGCAGGCTATCTCGAGGAAACAGAAGAATTTATTAGGGAACTATCGCCAGACGAAAGAATTGGACGTGTAGGGTTTTATATGGATGATAGCGACAATGACGAGGATGGAGATGATGATGATAATAGTGGAGAAGCTGATGGAGATGGGATTCAGTTGAAACCATGGTTGGATCCCAGTGCCCTGGCTAGTGCATTGAGTGATTGGAAACCTGGCGAGGTTTCGGCATTGGAGGCTGCAAATTTTGTGTGGACAACGAGGTTAGTATGCAAGATACTTAGAAATTTCAAGAGAGTAGAGACAGCATGGCACTTTTTCTGTTGGGTTGCTTGCCAACCAGAAAATTTCACTCATGATGTCTATACTGTGTCGAGGATGATTACCATTTTAGCACGCCATGGGCATGTCGAGTTGGTTGATCAGCTCATCTCTAAGGTCAAAAGAGAGGGAATTCGTTTACCATTCAGCACTGTGAGATTGATCATTGACTTCTATGGCATTTCAAAGAAAGCTGATGCTGCTCTGAAAGTCTTCCGAAACGCTGAACTAGTTTGTGGCTCATTATCAAAATTTAAATTAATGCTTTTGTATTCTTCTCTTTTATGGACTTTGACCAAGTGTCTGAGGAGTTCGGAAGCCATGGATTTACTTGAAGAGATGATATTATCAGGGACTCTACCAGATATCCAGACATTTTGTGGGCTGATGCAGTACTTTGCGCTTGAAGGGGATTTGAGAACAGTACATAGGTTGTTTGGGATGGTCAGACAAAGTGGTTTGGAGCTTGATGCTTATATGTTTCAGATTCTGATCCGTGCTTACTGTAAGTGTGAGAAGGCGGCCATTGCTTTGAGGGTTTTTGAAGACATGAGGAGCTTGAATTTGATGCCTGATGTTTTCACAAAAGCATTACTTGTGAAGAGTCTCTGGAGGGAAGGGAAACTGAGAGAGGCTGCACTTGTGGAAGAGAGAAGTGAGGAGATAAATGACATTCTTCCTTCTGCATTGCCTGGTCATGTATGGACAGTGAGTTCAGCTGATCTAACAAAAGTTTACAACCTTTACTCCGATGCATTTGCAAAAAATGGTGATTAGAGTTGTAAGGAGCCTCGTGGAGTGCTTTTTGGTAAGTTCTCAACTGCTTTAATAAATTTTGTCAAGATTTTCTTTGTTCTAGGGTTTCACATGATTTTCTTTATTCTTTGTTGGGATCATTCCACATATTCTCTGCATTTTAAGAGTATGTTATGTTCTATCTTCTAGTTAATAAATTTTGGCAAGAAGCAAGGTGCCAACCAGCGGGTTGGTAAGGTCTCCTGTTGGTCGTGGCAGAGACTTGGGATCGAATCCTGCCTGCACCTGGGTTGGGGGATGGGATACCCCCACTGTGTAGCCCTTCAAAAGAAATAAAAAATAATGCAATGTTGTTAAAAAAATAAATTTTGGCAAGAAAAGAAAAAGAGTGATGTGATACACATTAGTGTTATGGTCTTTTAGTGGCTATATATATTCCTGAGCTTATATAGCCAGGATAAGGGCATAAGGCTTCATTGAGTTGAGAATGGTCTAGTGCATTAGTCTTTCAGACTGGATATGCAAATAATGCCCTCTAAGTAATGACCATTGTTTATCATTATCCCCATCTCATCATAACAACCATAAAGACCATTTTAAAGCATCTACCTTTACGTATCACTTCAATTATATTTAGTTATTCTTTTCCAGATGACATTTGATGGTGCGCAATCCGGTCGGTCCTAGCTGTCAACGACCTTGCCTCTGAACGAAGCTACAGGGAACCTGAAACGGAGAAGACGAGGAAACTCTGGGGGGAACCCGGTGTGATTGCTCTGAAGCTCAAGTTAGAATTTTCTCAAAGGCAAGATAAAACCAGATGGCGCAAAGTTCACATACCTTGTTCTTGGGGGGTGGGGAGCCTTTTATAACCACCTTGCGCACTCACTTCTAAACTTCTGTCAGATCGGGTATGATTATCTCTGAGCTCCTGCCAGTTCGGGTGTCATCCCCTCTGCTGGACAGAACCGCCACTGCTCTTTGCCGGAGTCGTCTCTGCGGCTGGCGATGACGGTGGCAGGTGGCGGTGGCAGGTGGCCGTTGAAGTGCGGCTGTCAAGCGTCAGATCCCAAGTCAGTCAGGTGCGCCGCCCTTGGATACGGACCTCCTCGGTGTCACGTATGGTACGTTTGTTCAGTTTGGCGTCCTGGAGGCAAAGTGCTAGAGTGGTGAGTGAGGTGAAGTCTTGAGTTCGGATAGGGGAGTGTCCCAAACTACCATGGGACGGGCCAGTTCGGGTTGTTGCCTTGTGTGAGGCTCGGGGCCTAAGGGAGAGTTCGGGCTCCTCATAGGGAGTTCGGGCCCCTAGTAGGGAGTTCGGGCTGCTGGTAGGGAGTTAGGACTGCTGGTTCCTCCCTTCGGTGCTTGCGCTTTGGGCGTGCTGTTGTGCCGAGCTATTGCCTTTGCCACGTGTTGAGTGATTACGAGGTCGGGCCAAATCATCCTTCATCAATTGCCCCCTACTCCTCGTTCAAGGGACTTGCCTTTGCGCGAGGAGTTCGCAAGGTGGCAGGTGGATTTGTCCGGTACTTCGAACTGGTTTTGACTGATAGCGCGAGGTGCTCGTCCGAATTTTTTTTGGGTTTTCTCGAGCGCCAAAGAGACGGAAAATGCGCCAATCTGTCTAAAAATGCTGACAGACGTGGCGGCACGCGCTTATCTCAATTTTCAAAAAAGCGCGCCGCTGGGAGACGTGACAGCGGGTCTTTTCAAATTTGAAAAGACGCACTGCTGCCGCCTTTAATGCGAGGAGACGTGCGCTGGCTTTCTGTCAGTTTCAGAAAGACGTGTGCCGGCGTTCTGTTAGTTTCAGAAAAGACGTGCGCCAATCACGTCTCGGTCTTAGTGGACGTGTGGTCAGCGCGACTGCGGGCCGTCGGATTGGCTTTGATTTGAGCCGTTGATTCTCGGTTACTATGAGTATAAATAGTGGGGGACCCCAGTCGTTTTGTCACTTTTGCGCTTTGCTTCTTGAGCTCGCGTCCAAGCTTTTAGTTCACACTCAAGATTTTAGCTCGTGTTCAAGTTTCCGCAGTCCGTTCAAGCCTTTTTCCGGGTGAGTACTTTCCTGGAATCCATCTTCTCCTCCCGATGTCTAGCTCGGATAGCTCAGACAGTTCTTCAAGGGGGTCCGATGCAAGTTCTACGAACTGAGTTGCATCCCCCGACGGTTCTAGCGAACCTGAGGTAGAACTTGAGGAAGAGTTCGAGCCCGTAGGCCGAGTCGCCTCGGGCAGTTTGGCATCCACCTCTCGTCGAGGTCGGATGTTAGACAAGTTCGGGCCTTCGACCATGATGCCCGAGGGGCTTCAGTCCCTTATTACTCAGTTTAACCTACCTGGTGAGTACGCCTACTTCATACCTTTGGGCAGTTTCCCTTGGGAGCACGGTCCTGATGAGATCGTGATATTCCGGGAGCAGCTCGCCGCGGGGTTGCGCCTGCCTTTCCACCCTCTCCTTGTCTCCGTATCCAAAGTCGGGATTGCAACCGTTTTCTCTATGGGTGAAGCTCGTTCTTCGCCCTGCTCTGTAGGCCGCTCCAGCTCGAGGTCGTCGGCCGCCTTGGTTTTTCCCTTCAGGGTGGCAACATAACACTTGTGGGACTCAAGCTGGTCGCCCCGCGCTACCCCCACACCGAAGTCTGTAGGAAACTTCATTGCCAGATAGTAGGTGGAGACCACTGCCCGCAGAATATGCGTAATTGGCCGCCCTATTATGGCATTGTATGGGGA